GGCATTCCTCGTAATTTGCTCTCGCGAAATATCGTTGAAGTGCAAGAAAATTCTCCCGCGCGTTGAGAAAATTCCATCTGACTCAACCACATTTTTTCTCTCGTAACGCAGTTTTAAATACATACGAACTCTGTTTGTCGCGTTAGAACGACCAAAGTCATCGCGCGACACAACGGGGTAGGTATGCGTACGTCGAGATAGAGTCAGTGACAAGAGGGGACATTATCATAGCAGGACCGAAAAACTCCTCCCGAATCGCTTCCGAAATAAAGAAAGAGATTCTCTCTTTCTCCCTTTCTCTCTTTTCCCCTTTGGTATCTTCGATGGCGTAACGGCAGGAGGTCGTATCTACCGGGTAGGTTAAAGGCCAGGCTCCCTTTTTTCCATCTCCCCTATGGAAAATGCACCTTGGAGAGCAGAAACGCGAACCCACGACGCGATTTCACTCCGGAGACCGTACCGTACCCTTTTTCTCGCCTTCTTCGAGGTCTGACGCAAATAAAAGTAAACTAGACCCTGGTTCCAACAGTGTTGATGCACTACCATAGCGACTATGTTAAAAAGTGTAGAGCAGTGTTTCCCAACCTTGTCTAAATTGCAATCTCCCTTTAGAATGTAGAGATATCGTGTGTAATATATAGGTGACATTATTGTGCAAATTATCTTAAGAAAAGAAAATAGTCTTTCTTTCTTTTTTAATTTTATTATCACTTAAAATAAAACATATTCTCTCTATATATATATAAAAAAAAGATTAAATTAATCTAGCAAATTATTTCTTTTAATGTGTACTATTTAGTTACTCTCTTTCTGTGTGTTTGTGCATGCGTGCATGTTATGTGCGTATATGTATGTAGATATATATGTATATAAAACTAAACGTACTTATTTTAAATAAAAATTAAAAATACAAAAGCAAAAGTTAAAAGATGCTCTTATCAAAAATCAATGATATTTAAATTCCAGTTAGACTTAATAAATACTAATAAATTGCATCTCTAACCGTATATTTTTTGCTTTGAATGGCGATTATAAATACAGCAACTTACCGGTTGTTATTTTCGAGAAAGGCACTTGTATAGAATCGTGCTAACCATTTAGCAATTAACTTTCCAGCGAGAAGATATAGCCTACGGCTGACTGCATATCACTGGTCTATTTGGGTCCTGACTTTATGAAGTAGATTATTTTACGCTTGCATTGTTTTCTTCAATAAATGCTTATTAGAATAAAAAGGTATATTAAGGAATAAATATAAGTGATGTTTCAATATATTTATGCAGGCGTGCACAAGAGAGCGAGAAATATTGTAAAAATTTTATTTATTTAGGTGCATATCTGCAAGTTATGACAGTTTTTGCCATTTATTAAAATCAATCTACTGCTCCTTCAATCTCTTTCAATTTTTTATCTATTAAAATAAATATCATCTTACATGGAGCTTGTGATTTATTTGAACGCTTTTCGCTCTGGTATTATATTTCAAGTTTCCGGTTTCTATTTTCAGATTGTGCCCGCACGGAAGATGATGGTCATCTAAGAATCCTCTCCGACGTGCGACGAGTCTTTGAGGATGTGCAGTTCGGTGTTAAAGTGTCGGTGAGAGCGGAGAAATCTCGCGTATATCTATGATTTCTTCCTTTTCTTTCCTTTATTGCGCTTTATCTTACGGGAAATCCGCACGAACGATGTCATAGCCGTCCAAGTGCGAACTCTCTTCACGTCGGACACGATGGCATTGTTGTTCGCCATAATCGTTATTTCGATCACCACTGCCATGTCGCTACCGCCGGTCATTAGAATCGGTGAGTATCAATTTGTACATATATGTTAATTTCTAGCTTATTTAGGTGAACAAGATTCGATTACTATGATTTATAACAGCTCCGTCATAATTCGCCTTTTAACTTGATTATTTATAATAATAAACAGTCAAGTATCTATTAAGTAAAATAACTAAAAATTGTTAATTTACTAAAAATTCACGAAACATTATATGAGATAATTATCAGAAGATTATTAGAATTATTAGAGAATATTTAGAATCGAAAATTTGTCATTCTATTCTTTCTTGTTAAAACCATACGCTTTTATGCTTCAAAAATATTTTTGCAAGTTATGTAACACGCGGTGTTTTTTATTTCTATTGACGTTTCCTTATGATTTATGGTTTTCGCGCATATCGTTGATCACAGGCTGTCAGAGTACAAAAAGCGAACTGTCACTATGCGTAGTTCGCTCTTGGATTGTCAATTAGTTCGGTTATCCACGTAAAATTGTCCAGTCTTTTGTTATACGCCCGCAAAAAAGATTTCCACAGTCAGTTCTATGGTAAGATTTACGTTGTACTATATCTATGGTTTTTGCGCAAATACAATAGCAAATGAGCGAGCTTGCAACAACGAGAAACAAACGTGGACGTGATACGAATTAAATATCTCAGAAAAGATGACATTGCCAAGGGAATAAAAAAATATTATCTTTATTAATTATATAGGATACATATATGTATTTTTATTTATTTATTTATTATCTTTAATATACAATATATCAAAGATACTACATAAATTTTTATTAGAATTATCATTTAAATGTTCTCGCGTTGAAACGTCTTGTAGAACAACACGTAGCAGCACACAAGTTTTCTCGCCTGTCTCAGTCTCTGCGAACTTGCCACAGCAAGTCAGTCAGTCGCAAATCAGTCTCAGGCTTCGATCTTCTCTGCCTGTAAACTTTTTCCGCGTCATAGGTCCCGAACTTGGCCGAAACTTTCCGTCGGGTGATTATGCTCCACCACGACAGGTAGATGCACCGCGGTTCGGAATTACAGAGTACCGAGCCGCTAAGTACAGCGCGCCGGGATCGAATCTTCATCTGTTACCGCCCCCGCTCGCGACTTTATCACTATGGGAGCCTCATTAGTATTCCGAAGGCATTCGCGTGGGTGTAGGACAAACGTGTCCGTGCGTAGGATGCCGAGCTTCGACTCCGACCTGTGTATACATCACGTTATTCATATATATAGACATACACAAGCACACATACGTAACACGACGCGACGCGAGAGCAGAGCTCGAGGCTGCTGCCGTTGCTCGCCAGTTAAGTCTGACGGCAGGAAAGTTTTCCGTCGATCTAATTGGTTGAATTTCTGCGGGGCAACCACCTCGAGGGAAACTTGTCCGCAATTTCCTATGATGTCGTTGTGAGAATGAAGAGAGGGCGATAAAGCGAGCCGGGACTTGTCAGACGGAGCGCGGGCGTCTTATATGAAACAAATGGGGAACCCGAAAGAAAATAAGGTGTCCCCGGAGGGACCAAAAATCCTCTTCTCGGCATCTCGACACACGGCGCATCTCTGAGAGATCGCGAGACCGCAAAGAAAATACGAGGGATATTATGTATTCATGCCTGCTACCATAATCTTTCTCGCATTGTGGAACGTAATTGAAATATCTATTACTCACATAGTATACGCGTTGGAAAGTTGCGAACGTATAACATGAACGTAAAAATAAGGACTACGTTAAATAAATCAGAGCCGGCCATGTGGTGCCAAGGGAAAAATTAATTCTTTCTTTTTATGCATGTTACAAAAGAAAAAAGAGAAAGAGAGAAAATGAAAAAAATTTTGAATTATAATAGTGCAAGCACATATATAGATATCATATGTAGTAATCTCGGAGATAGAAGTTACATGACTACATGAC